ATCTGCCAAGAGCTTTGGCTCTGCCATCCACCAAAGCGGCCGCTGCGGGGATTGTTTCATGGTCTCTTCCTGCGCCAGAGGACATTTTTGTCAATGTTCCGTGCATGGGCAGAAACGGGCAGTATGCGTGCATGTGTGCATTGCCCGAAAGGGTTGATGAGACGTGGGTAGATGCGAACGCACACATTTGGCGGAAAGAAGATGAAATAAGAGACAATCTGGAAGCTCTTTGAACTGATTGGATCACCACACTGAATGCTTTAGCCGCGGCGTGAAGGTGAGGTCCAGCACAGAAAAGTGTGTACTCTCTCTATATATATATATATACATGATGACCTAATGTAATAGATGTCCTGTAGCTAATTGGATTATGATCCTGCAAACACGCTCCATCCCTTGCTGTTATTTTGCATCAAACCTCAGTTCTGGGCCGAAGCGAGCTACCCCGCCTGAGCTCGAGTCCACTGCTCAAAACTCCGTGCGCCTTGTGGAAATTGTACGCCTTGTCTCCTGTCAGTTCTTTTTAGTATAGATATGTTTGATTATTAGAACTTAGATACAGAACTAATAATAGTACTACGCCTTAGTACTACTTTCTAATTAGATGCTATACTTCTCTCATTCGTTGTTGCACATACATCTCGAGGTGGACCAACATCTCGCCCCACGAGACTCGACGGCGCACATCTGGGCACGAGACGGCCTCCAGTCGTTTTGACCATGCCAATTCTCGGTATCCAGTCGTAGCTTGAGCGATGGATTCCACCTTATCATTCAAATAAGCCGTCCACCAAATGTAGACAAATTAGGTGTGTTTTAACCCTATAGACAACGAATATGAGAGGGCAACCATTTGAAGGGTTTGACGGAACGTGCTGTTCCTGCTTGAGGGCCTGTGTTAATTGCTGTGGCGCCATTGTAGAAGTTGCACTGTCTATCAAGACATGGACCACACTGTAAAGGGAAATTGCAACAATCCCAGCCATGATTTGGGCTGTTTGAATAGTTTGGTACTGACCCGGCAAGACATCAGCCTACGGTTCGGCAAAGGTTGCACAACCGCTAATGGAAGCAACTCGGATCTGATGATGCGATGGATAAGCACAAGAGCCATCCGTGAAGAGCAGGACAGGTTGTTCAACAACATGTTGGGTCAACCGGGGGGTTGCCCGGAAAGGCAACCTGAAACCGATGACCCAACATGGTCTGGTGGGACGCAGATATCCACTTCGCTGATGATATTCGTATTTTCATGTATTTTCATGTATTTTCTTATTATCATTGTTGTGAGGATGATGAGCTGATGCGCTACGTGCATGATGTGGATGACGCGCTGATGCATTACGAACATGATGCGGATGATGTGCTGATGCGCTGTGGGCATGATGCGGATGATGCGCTGGTGTGTTACGAGCATGACGCGCAGGATGAGCTGATGATGAATTACAAATAATGAGCTCCAAGACGATGAGTTGAGTGGCCCGAAAGGCAAAAAATCCTGTAAGCCCTCAGCATGTTGCTTTCCCGGCAAACCCTCCTCATTTACCCATGTTGCTCAAAAGTCGGGTAGTCGGAAGAATAGCAACCACCCTCCGGGATCCGGTCTATTTCTGGAAACAAGCCATACGCTCTCGTAAAGGCAGAAATCGTTCAGGAAGCAGATTTCAACGGACACCTTTCCGACGGGTCGGCTCAGTGGCTCTTTCTGCATGTCCGAAAGACGTCTTCGGTGAAGGTGCAACCATGACATGCGAGGACACCTAGGGTCTGCCCACAGAAAGCAACATACAGCTGAAGTGAATTGAGTTATAAACACAGACTTGGTTTTGAGTTTACATGTTCCCTATGCATGGGTAAATCCCCTTTGGGGGAACATTACCCTTTTCCTGGCAAATCCAAGCAGACCGGTTTAAGCAAAAGTTCTACAAATTCAGAAGCCGGTCCAGCTGGAGAGTCCAGCCTCAGATGTCCTTTGATGCCCCCCGGGTAGACGGCCCATAGCCGAAGATTGCAAGTCTTGTTGTCAAAAAGAGGCCTCGGTTCAAGCATGGACCAATTGGCTTCAGTAAGACTTTGGTTTTCTTTAGGACGTGTTTGTGGTTTGTCCAACAAATAATGCTTTGGCATTATAATATATAACAATATATATATATATATATAACATATACAGTATATAATATAGTATATATATATATTATTCACACCGTGCTGCATGTTCTTTCAGGTCAGGGACAAGCTGGGAGTCACGCTGGTCAGGTCATATTGAATTTGTCTTGTCACCCTTGCTCAGCCCGCATTGCCAGTTTCCAGGTGAGACGCCTTTGCGACGATACTGGAAATGGTATTCTGTAATCTTAGCGGGGGACTTCAGTGGCTGAATCAGCACATGCCACACGAAAATCCTCCTTCCTGAAAATTGTTTGGTTTCCGGATTAGAAAAACAGATGAAGAGAAGATGAGCCACTTTAAGAATCAGGATCATGTGTGAGATTGTCTCTTAAATATTGTCTAAACCGTCTAGATACTCCAGTCCCAAATCCAGGATGACTTTAAGCTTTCTGACTTGAGTGGTGTTCTTCCCCTGTATAATCTTTCCAACTTTGCAGCATTGGTCAGCCTCAAAACCTCTGGAAATGATAATCTCTGGGGCTCATATTCAGAACTCAGTTCCAGCTAGTTTGAATTCGGCTCTTCCGACAATTGAGAGACAAGCATCCGGAGCTAGTAGACAATTTTGGCAATTGATTTCTATCTATCAGTCACCTCAGTTCCATTTGAACACCAAATTCCTCTCAGAAATCCAGGTTCGGCCGCGTCTGTTCGGGACTCATGGATTTGACAGGGGTGGGATTTCATGCCCAGTTGAATCCACTTGACATCAATGGAGGAACTGACACGCACCACATTTTCGGACTTCCATGGTTGTGGTGTCCAAACAGCACTGGCCAATCTGATAGCACTGAGCTCCCCTGCGAGACAGTTGGTTGACAGCTCTGCCAGCTTTGGCACTGGATCTTATATTGGAGATCCTGAGCTCACCAACCGCACGGGTCATGGGCGATTCATTACCTTGGGATGTTAATTTCACAAACGCTGCGCTCGCCGCCCGGGCGGAGCAGCACCGGATTCCGAGGAGTTCAGCGATGTGAGTCCCTGAACAGGATGGAACCCACAAAGTCCCCACGTGGATTGGTAGAGACTTTTGCAAGTCAGTCTTTGTTGTTTGGTTCCATTGGTCTATCAGAAGTGATGCTGGAGTAGACATGGGGCGTCATCACACCCAGAGACCCTCAGATTGAACTGCTAAACCTGAAAGCATAGCTTCACAAAAAGGAGTACCCGCAGAGTGTCGTAGTGAACTCATAGTGGGAGCTGGTCACATTTTAAGGTGCACCCCAAATGAGCCAGCTTGGTTCTATATGACTTTGCACCCTGGTGGTATCATATTATCAACTTCAACATCACACTCATATTTTTATGATTTTTTAGGGCCACTTTGGATTGTGCCAAGATCACAGTGCTAAGCACCCAAGGAATGTCACGAACATGTGACTCTGCCGTCACCGTGGCCTGGGCTTTGGGCCCATGACTGGATCCGAAAGAGATCGGATGGAATCTGTTTCTCGCCCTTGCGAGTCCGCGGTGCTCCGAACGCCAAAGCACCGCCGTTTCAAACCACGTTCGAGAAAGCCACCGCCGCGAAAACACCGTACGTGTGACGTGTTCCGGCACGTGTTCTGGGGGCTGGGGCCCTCTCGTCGGCTGAAAAGCGCAAAATCACAACACATGGGGGTTTTCCCCACCAGTCAGGCGAGGGTTGTTATATTTTTGATATAGTCTTCTCCTTCCTTCCTTCCTTCCTTTCTTCCTTCCTTCCTTCCTTCCTTCCTTCCTTCCTTCCTTGCTTCCCGATGTTGTTTCTTTGCGTGGTTGCTATGTTGGGAGATGTTGGAGCTCGGCGGGATGAAGTGGGACCTTGTTGCGACTTACGTCCAGAATGTTTGCCATCGCTTCACCCCCCAAACGGCCTTCGATTTGTGGTTCGATCCCAGTGATGTCTGAAGATCCGGGTCGCTGAAACAAAGATCCTTTGGATGGTGCTTTTTGGGACTGGCGAAGGGGCGAATCTACAGCGAAGTGGTAGCGAGAATCAAGACTATTCCCACCTTGAGATTCGCTTCGCAATAGGCTCCCAAAGGTCGTGCAAGCTTTTGGTCATGTTTCTGATTGAAAGCATTGCTTAAGCTTTCGGCCATAGAATCTGGTCGCACATATGGCAAGAGAAGTAGCGTTTGAGAGAGCGCTTGGTCCGGGGAAACTCTGAAACATTTAGACACATGATTATGTATAGACAAGGATCGTTTTTGTATATAGGAAAAAAATATACATATATATATATATTAATTGTTGTATTTTTCTATTGTTTGTTCATTGTTTTTCTGGAACACACCAGATCGATCCATCGATCTCACTTCTCCCTTCCTCTCCGGGCCGAACGGAGGGAGAGATCACCGGGGTCAGGGAAAGACCGGTGACGCATGGACAGATCATGCCGGACTGGAAGATTGAGCGACCAGTTGGGGTTGACCTGGGGTCAATGTAGGCATATATATTCCATGGATGGTCTTCATGTGGTCGCCGGTGGTGTTCCACCGTACAACCTTCAACATTGAACCTTTGGGACCTCAACGGTTGCAAGACTCATGGTCACAGGTTCCTCAACGGACATAATGTAGACTCTTGATGAATTAACCCTCCCAAAGATGAAGAGGTGTTACAATCCAAATAGGGCCAAATAGGGAGTGTTTCCTTTAATCAAGAGTCTCCTTATAATGTAAGTAGACTCATTGAATAAAACATGGATTTTATGTAAATCCTCTTCGGGTCTCTCTTTTGTTGTTCATCAAGAGTCTACATTGCATGGGACGACCCCAACGGCCCAAAGGCCTCCAAGATGGGTGTAGGAGAGCTCAACCAGCGAGCCGCCCGTCATCCTCCAGGAGATTCTGCCCAAGTCAGAGATTGTCATCATGCGAGAGGCAGAGCGGAAGCTCATGTCAATGTGTGATTGCAGGGAGTGGAGAGTCTTCTGAACATATGCTGTAATCCTCTGAATAGATGCCATCCGACAGGTCGCTGCATAAACTCGACGGAGGTTTTCTTCGCAAATGGCAGGTACTCGGGGGTTCTGAGCTGGCTAACGGTTTAACGGGCGGAGCACTTGTTGGGGTCATCAACTGTTTGCATACGTCTGTACGTGTCAGCTCAAAGCAATTATCTTCTTCATCCGGCCTTCTCCACCAGGCGCGGGAACACAAGCGCTTGGGGGGTGCGGACTCCACCGGCGTGGCGTGTGGCCAGGCACGTGGCGTGGTGGAGCCTGGTTCCAGGGTCATGTGGGGAGGGGTCGTGACCCACCATGTGATTTAGCGGTCAAACGGTTGGTATTGTGGTGTCATGACAAACGGATACCCACGGCCATGTCTTAAAAATGAGGGAGTGAGCTCAGTCAGGGTGTCCGGATGCTGTTTGATTGGTGGTTTTGACACACGACAATATGTGATGACACACTATGACACATGTAGTCCACTCATGAGTCGGATCTATCAAACAGGGATACACATTCACATGTTCTTTAATGTTGAATCCTTTTGAGTGGTGGGCCAACTGCTGCGAAAGCACTTCAAAACCTGACGGGCCCCATCTTGGATGGACGGGGGGTTCTGATCTCGGAAGGGGCCCTTGGCACTTTCCGTTTGTGCCAGCCCAAAGGATGAGGCTCGAGGATCACTCCGAACGGATCCAATGGCATCCTCCTTTGGTACGGTTTTCTGTGTTCGACACTGAGACATGAGGCAGTGCCAGCCGGTCAGGGTCAGGACATCGCAGGGTTTGACCTTCACGTGAAGGTGTCCAAGGTTGTTTTCAGCTAAGTGTTAGCACCTGCATTAGCCTAAGTGGCACCAATTGCCATCGAAGAATCATGACTCATCATCACATCATCAATTCTATGGCCAACCGGGTACCATATACTCCCAGAAATTGGAGTGATGACTTCGGGCCCTCCAAGTGACGCCTCCTTTTTGTTCCTGTGTAAACAATCGGTGCCATATTTGTGCCACTCGCCAGGGCATCGTCCAGCGGCTGCGGGAGGAGCTTCCGGTCCTCTATGAGGAGCGGTGGTCCGGCGCGCGCGCGCGCGAGGGGCGGACTGGTTCCATGCCCAGACCATCCTTGGGAAGAGATGGAAGATACCCGCCCTTCCATGTTTCATCATGTTTCCATGCCGGAAACACCATCCGGACTGGAAAAGATGCCACCTTGGTCATAATATTCCAGTTCCAGTCATTGGATGGTCGGATGGTTCATGGTTTTCCCCAAAGAGCCGAACTCACAGCGACCACGGGCAGTTTGAACAACACTCATTCGGTTGAGGTTCGGATGTTTATTCGCGAACGGGCGGAAGTTCGACCGTTGGCTCAGCGGGGCACTGGGGGGATGGAAGTGGTGCGATTCACCCAAATCTGGACGGAACAGCAGACCTCAACTATTGACGGCTACCCTGGCCAGATAGAACAACGTAAGAGTCGTGGAACGTGGCCAGTTGGGCAAACTGGCGCCATGGTTTCGTTGAAGTTCTTCCGCCGAACTTGTGACCTTTTCTTGATCACATCAGAATTATCATGAAATATCATGACACGCAAGCTTGATTTGATGGATTTGGTGGAATATGATGCAAGAATAATTGAACAATCCCTAGAGCTGAACACCACCTGGGTACCAAATTCTAGCATTGACCGGAACCCTCCAACAAAATCCATTGCTTTGCCTGCATATCCACCGGTGTTCGCAGAAAGAACCCGTTTCAGTGGGGGGTCGAGCTTCGCCCAATGGCCGGATCTCGTCGTTTTGGTGGTTCCAAGGGCCCAATGGCCGGCCCTCCATTTACCGAAGCCTACAGGTCTTACGGACCTTCAAGGACCATAGGACTGGATCCGGAAGGACCAGTACTCAATGAGGTCAAGCACCAGGTTTGGCCGCCACTGGACTTGTAGCGGAAGTTTCTGATCAATCAACCACCCCAATGTAAAGATTCCGATCCCATGGACCGTTTGCGGCCATCTGTGTTCTTTGCGGCCAAAGAAACCATCAGCCAAGAGAACAGAGGATCCACGTGCGTCGGTTTTTGATTTGACCAGCAACCTAGTGCATGAGCAGCCAGTCGCCCTGGACGTCGTCAGGAGGAGAGCGAGCAAGCTGTAGCCCTGCAGGCCAACCAGCACCGCACCTGTGAAGATGGTGGCTAACCGTAACCATGGGCATGTTTGATTGCACACAGAGTGGGCAATTTGCAAGAACTATGGGCCAGCAGCGGCCAGCGCTACCCAGTTCGTGTGGTTGATAGACTCTTGACCGACCATGTAATTTCCTTTCAAAAACCATTCTTTGGGAACCTGGGATTCCCTGCGGTGATGACCATGGCCCTCTCCATTTGTTTGATAAACCATCCATCAAACTCGGCTCAATGGATAGTCGCTATTTCACACAGGGTTAGATACGAGGTCAAGACTTGTCGCTACTGGTAGCTTGATATTGGGGTATGTTACAATACGTTTGTTAGAACATCCTAGAGTGTGAGACTCTGCTTCTCTCAGGTGGTTTCAGGATTTCTTTTGTTTGTTGAAAGGTATTTCGGCCAGAATCTGGGGTAGCACAGCTGTTCACCTGGGATTGCATTGATGATTTATTGATGCGCATCAACAGTAGGCTACCATACCTCTACAAACGGGAGAGGCTAAATGAGGACCATAGCAGGCAAAAAATGCCTGGCCAGACCCAGACTGGCGCTTTAGGGACCCAGATGGCCCAAGCTACGCGCTATGCCCGTTTTTCCGAACTCGGTCTTTCGTGAAGCAGACGGCCCGGGAAGTCCATCTCCTTCAGAAGTGACGCTTTAGGGGTCCATATCGTGGCTGAAACCGGCAGGAAACCCAGGGGTCCATGGCGGTAGCTGTCGATTTGTTCATCATCGATCTTCGCTCCCGTGCATCCACCGTAAATACCCAAGCCCGGCCCAAGCCATATCAAAGCCAGAAGGTCTGGTACCTGCCTACAGATGCCTACAGGTTTTTTGCTCACTGTGGATCTTGGTGGGTCTGGGCTAGGAAACTTTGCGCTTTGCACGCTCTCATTCCAGGAGCTGGAACAAATCCGCATCGATACCTCCTCGGTGGAAGACGAGTGGCAGGGAATCCGAGAAGTTTGCACGGCTTTGCACGGAGAGTTCACGCGGTTTCAAACCATTCCACAGTTGCGCACTGCAAGGCTCAGCAAGGAAACAACATGAAACAACCAGGTTTACTGTACATGGTTCACTTGTCCTCACAATTCCAAAAAGATGCATCATACTTGTAATAAGACATCTTTCTTTGGAGATGTTTGAAGCATATCCAATTTTTATCCCATTTTGTATCAATATATACACATATAAATTGCTGTAGACGCTTGCTTATATATATATATACATCTCCCAAGCTCGAAGAGGTTTGACAATCCATGTCCGGTGGTTTTGTTTTATTCATCAAGAGTCTACACGATGTGTTAATTAGCTTAATGTTGCAATCACTTGAGTATCCGACACACCAACACCTGCTGGATACCCTATGTGCATAATTGCTGTATATAGTAAGGACCCTATCCTACGCTCCCTTATTTGCTGTACCGAAGTCAAGGAACCCTCGAAACCACCGACACGTCCCTCCGCTGCCCTAGGTGGGGCCCAATGATGGGTGAGACCTTTGAGGAGATCGACGAAAACTTAGAGGCCACGCCGGGGTAAAAGGGTTGGATGGTAACCCTATAGTAACCCTAGTAACCCAAACAGTGATATATAAGGCCGACGCCTCGTTTCGGAACCTGGATTCGTCTCGTTTCGGAACCTGGATTCGTCTCGTTTCGGACCCTGGATTTGTCTTGTTTCGGAACGCGGGTGAAATGGTCTCCCGAGGCTAGGAAGTGGTTTCTGGGAAGTGGTTTCTGGGAAGTGGTTTCTGGCAAGTGGGGAAGTGGTTTCTGGGAAGTGGTTTCTGGGGAGTGGTTTCTGGGGGCTGGTTTCTGGGAAGTGGTTTCTGGGAAGTGGTGTGGTTTCTGGGAAGTGGTTTCTGGGAAGTGGCGTGGTTTCTGGGAAGTGGTTTCTGGGGAGTGGTTTCTGGTGGCTGGTTTCTGGGAAGTGGTTTCCGGGGGCTGGTTTCTCGGAAGTGGTTTCTGGGAAGTGGTGTGGTTTCTGGGGGCTGGTTTCTGGGAAGTGGTTTCTGGACGCTGGTTTCTGGGAAGTGGTTTCTGGGAAGTGGTTTCTGGGAAGTGGTTGCTGGGAAGTGGTGTGGTGTTTGGGAAGTGGTTTCTGGGAAGTGGTGTGGTTTCTGGGAAGTGGTTTCTGGGGGATGGTTTCTGGGAAGTGGTTTCTGGGGGCTGGTTTCTGGGAAGTGGTTTCTGGAGACTGGTTTCTGGTGACTGGTTTCTGGGAAGTGGTTTCTGGGGACGGGTTTCTGAGAAGCGTTGTTTTTTTGAGGGGGTGGTGGTGAAGGCCTAAGTCTAACCCACAGACATCCTAAAGAAGCAAGGCCCTAAGCCAAGCCAAAAGAAACCGTGGCCCTACAGGAGCGAAACCCTAAGCAAAACCAAACCAAACCCTAAAGAAGTGAAGCCTTGAGTCAAACCCGCAGACATCCTAAAGAACTGAAGCCGAGATGCTGTTGAATTTGTGCCAAAGACATCCTAAAGAAGTGAAGCGATAAGGCAGGCCAAAAGAGACCCTCAAGAAGTAAAGCTCTAAGTCACAACCAAGACATCCTAAAACAGCAAAGTCCTATGGCAAACCAGCCAGAAACCCTAAAGAAGCGAAGCCCTAAGTGAAACCCAAGACATCCTAATGGAGGGAAGCCCTAAGCAAAACCAAACCAGGCCCTAAAGAAGTGAATCCCTGAGTCAAACCCAAAGACATCCTAAAGAAGTGAAGCCCTCAGTGAAACCGAAAGACATCCTAAAGAGCAAAGCCCTAAGGCAAACCAACCCCCCTGAAGAAGTGAAGCCCTAAGTGAAACCCAAGACATCCCAAAGGAGCCCTCACGTGAAGGCCTAAGTCCAACCCAAAGACATCCTAAAGAAGCAAAAGAAAACCTAAAGGATCGAAACCCTGAGCAAAAAAAA